TGTCATTGAGATCTAGGATGCCGGATACGTTCCTCTACTTACCAGCAAATCTACCTATCTCGTTCCGGAATGGTCTGCAAGGACCTCGTTCATTGATATGGAGTTCTACCACCTTGAGAGTCAATAAGTGGCTGGTGACATGTGTCATACTGGCATAGTAATTCTGACCGTCCCATTTCAGTACGGTTGAATTCGTGGTAATCACAGTGAATGTATTGGACCGATTAGACAGCTAGTTACTGGGTTTTGCATAATAGCGTGAACACGCGATTTTTTTATTTCACGTCGGGCTCCTCGGAGCGCTCATACTGCCGGTGGGGCAGTATAGACTGCCGTTGGTTTGAGAGACCTGCAAGATTGAGCTTCGAGCGAGCTTTCTGACTTCTATCCACAATACTGACTCCAGGCAAGCCTGAACCAGTTGAGACATCCCAGAAGAGGATAAATAATCATACCTGTGGGCTTCAATGGTACACATTCCACTCAGAGAAGGCCAAAGCCACTGCGGGATATCCCGACGGAGGTCAAATCTCCAAGTTGCCACAGCGGCTGGAGGTGTCGGACCGGGTCACGTAAGGCGAAATATTTTTTTCGCATGTTCACGCTATTATGCAAAACCCAGTAGTACCTTAGCCCAACCTTTCAACCTCACCGGCTCATCGGCAAATGACCATGTTCTCCGACGATCACCGTCACCGCTTGTAATGAATGGGCTTGAATGGACCGCGACATCTTGACCTGACGCAGTTCATCTCCGAGATTTGTGAAGTGAAGTGACTGATACTTTCCGATCCCAATACGTACACGGAAACTGGTATGTTAATCTCGATGATTCCGAGCCGTTCGTAGTAATACACCTTCTATTCTGTATGTCCATAGCCCCAGGCCTGTTCTACCCTCCTCAACAGCTTGCCTCCGCAACCTGCTCTCTCCTCCCAATCTCGCCTTTGTATGTCCCATCAGTGTGGTCGTCCGTTATCTTAAAACTTCCGGTCTGCAGCGTAAACCCCCTCAACCCTTCATCCTTTGAATTGAACACGCTCCTCACAGTTATCACCTTCCTCCTCGCCTCACGGGCAATCCGGATGAGCATCATGTAGAACGAGATGCATATAACTGAGGTCATCTATATGAAGGACATCAGACCAAAGTTCCTCAAAATCATCAGAACATACCGAATAAACGACCACCGGTTGCCAAACCGGCCTCCGAACATATACAAAAATCGTCAAGGATAATGAGAACGTGTAGAGCATGCCAGAGTCTATAGCCACCCTAAGGAACGCCATAAGCGTCGAACGTGCGGCACCGACCCGGAATTCGGAGTTTTCCCGGTCGATCCGCCAGATCTTGAATGCTAGGAGGCCTATGGTTGTGGTCAATATTGAAAGGAACGTTCTTGAGAATAAAAAACGAGGAGCTGATAGTTTCAATGCCCCGGGAGACGTTACTTACCAGTACTGATCACGTTGGTAATCAAAGACGCAACAAAAAACGAGGTTGTCCACCGTCTGATACGTAGGAGCTCGTCAAAGGTCCCATTGAAAACTAGGACATTGGCGGCAACGTTGCCTATAACGGTCGCTGGAAGTCGACTTATCAGCGTCCTGAATTAAATCAGACCGAGCGACGAGAAACGAGCGTACCCAACAATCCAAGCCACAATAGGAACGGTATAACCGCTACGACCGGTTTTGACTTCCATACCAAGATACCTCGATACGCCTGTTAACAATACCCCTTTCAACACGAGGGTCATAAAAATGTGTACAGGGAGCCATGGTACTCACAACGACCGCGTCTGCAAGCAACGTCAAGGTCATAAAAACGTAACTTCTTTCTCTCTCTGGACCTTGTTTGATTCTGATGAGATACGAGGCTGGGCTGATATCCGTCTGGTGAGTGGGATCTTTCAGATGACGGGCGAGATCTTGGACGGCTTGGACGAGGTCCATGATTACGATCTGTCGAGTACGTTAACGAGGATCTTTGAAGTTCAATCGAATTTATGGGGCACCGTAGTCGAGAGAAGGAACAATGCGATAGCAAGAAAAACTGCCCTCTTCTTGACGGTTTGAGGCGAGCCCGTGAAAGGCTCTCTTAAATCCGATTGCCCCAGTAGCTCTTTAAGCGTGATTACGAAGAGGGGAATCGATGCTCCTGAAGACATGCAAGTAAGGAAACAGAAAAGTCATCACATCAAGGACACTGGCCTCCAACCCAAACTAGGACGCACCATATAGCGTCCAATCTATTGTCAACCCCACGAACTTAGAGACACTTCGAGTGAGGTCGTTGTCCTTCATTGGGTACTATTCATCGGTTCTCAGAACAGAAAAACGTCCAGAGGACTTGATATGCGTATCCAGAGGCGACAATGAGGGAAGTGGAGGTAAGCCTACTCAACGGATCATCTTGATTAAAAGTCTACACGTCTACCCTCTGTCACGATGTCCTTGTCTGCCAACATCCCTAAGATGAGACCCGAGACGTTAATTAATGGGAGCAATATGTTCGATGCCAGCACCCCTAGATATTCCCTCATACCGCTTCTATAAAGGGGCTGTGGCGGGGAGCAGCTGGTATCGATCTGTGGATCATCTCTCCTGAGTTCCCCGCAACGACCGCTTGAAGTGATCCAGAGAAACTTCGAATGGATTCCCTGCCGGTTTCGATGATCGCCTAGTTCATACCAGTCGATTGGGTGGCAGAGCACCGGCGGATGACCAGAATGAATCTTCATCGTGGTAGCACCTTCGCCTGAGATTTGGGCGGAGCGAGAAAAGTAACCCGACTCTACTCACGTCTACTACCCTCCGGCCGCCGACGAGCTCCCTCTTGTTGTTTGACAGTGGCGACAGGGAGTTGAGCGCTCGACGATCGTAATCACTTCCGGTTTTGTCGCTCCTAAAGTGTCCTCGGTGCCGATTTGGATCTCCGTCTTCTTCATTGCCTCCGTACACGTTTCTTGAGTATCAGTCGCACTGTCGTGCACTGAGAAACCTTTCAACGCTTCGTCTTTCGGGTTGAATACACTCTCGATGTCTCCAGACCTCGTGCGCGATTCACGAGCGATCCGGATCAGGATAAGGTAGAAGCAAATCGATATTATTGAGGGCATCTAGGAGAAGAATGGTCTGTTAAGCACATTAAGACTGGAACGAATAGAATCGTCCGAGACGTACCGTGTTCACGAATGTATCCTTACAGATAGACTGTGTAATGTAGGCCCATATCGTCACGGACAAGAAGATAGTGTAAACCAGTCCTGAATCGATAACTACTCGAAGGAAGCCCATCAGTGGCGATCTTTTGATGCCAACTCGAAATTCGGAAGATTCTCGATCGATTGTCCATATTTTGAATGCAAGGAGACCTATAGGCGATAGTGATTATGAGTCTGGACTCGTCGAACGAAGTATTGCAAGGACGTACCCGTACTGATGACATTGGCAATCAACGAAGCAATGAAGAAGGATGTGGTCCAACGTCTAATCTCAATAAGCTCTCGCCGACTTTCATCGTGGATCGTGCCTATGGCGATCATGGTACCTATAACAGTGGCTGGTAAACAAGGAGATCAGTTCAAACGCGACGGCTCTGACCTGAATATTAGGAGAGGCTTACCCAAGAGGCTTGTCCAAAGCACCCAAGGAATCGCGGCAATCACTGGTCTCGCTCTCCACACCAAAGATCCGCGATACGACTATTCGAGTGGATCACGGCCACGTAAGGTTCACACGGAGATTCGAGTGGAAGGTGGGAGGCTCACGACGACTGCATCTGCCAACAAGGTGATTAACATAAACGCATACCCTCGTTCCTTCTCAGGTCCCTGTTTGATTCTCGTGAAATAGCTCGCTGGGCTGATTTCAGTCTGGCCGGTCGGATCCTGGAGATGTCGAGCGAGCCCGCCAAGGTCCTGAATGATATCTGACACAATGACCTGCATGAAGTTCCTTGAGCTTTACCCCGTTGTATCAATGGCAAGCAGCACGAGAGATCGAACCATTGTCGTAAGTAGGAAGAGAGCGAACGTGGCGAATATGGCTTTCTTGTTGATTGTTGGGGGACAAATGAGGGTTTTTCGATGATGGCGTAGGGGCTGGAAGAGCTCTTTGAGAGTGATGATAAACAGAGGGACGCTACAGCCTGTTTGATCATAGTAAATCAGCAACGAGAGGACGAATAGGGTCTAGAAGACACACCATAGAACCCCCATTCCACAGCCAAGGCAGCAAAATTGGCAATATCAAATGCAATATCGTCGTTCTTCATGGTGTCTTCCCTTGCGCTGAGGTGATGTGAAGGAGCAGGTTCGAGAGGGATTGGTTCTGGGGAAAGGGACATTTTAAGCCAGTCGAGGAATGCAGACCTGAAGTGAAAATGTCTAAGGTCTGCTTCCGGTTCTCGATTGTGAGCGGCAAACATCCGCATATCCGCCCCTGTATAAAGGGTGGCTCGGCGAGAGGCTATCATTGTCTCAGACGAGACGCCCGTTTAGGCGACTAACCCATATATTTCCTTCCCTAGGAAACCAATAGGTATAGCTTTCCGAAGCATCAGACGTGAAGGTGCACGTATTATATATTTCTTATTTCTGATAGCGTTCATGTCGGTGACGCTGATTGGGAGAACAGCATGGAGTCGGCACTGGAGAGTTACTTGCTCAATAGAGATAATTTCGTACGCCACCACACAGATGATTGAAGAATAGATGAGTATGGAGGAGTCGCTGACATGTGAAAGACGATGAAACGCTCAACATACCTACCTACTACCCTGACCTCAAACCGGGCCATCCTTGAACTCTGTTCGGCTATCGACAACTTTAACTGGGTTTAAGTGAAGCAGCAATGTTGAACAGGTTCTGTCCAGAATGCACGACATGATGGTTTGAGATAAAATCCTATGCCTCCATACGTCATCAAGAGGAGCTTCGCTCTTTCATCGCTCAGACGCATTCGAGGACAATCTGAAAACAATAATATCACTCCCACTGTGATGTGGTGTAGTGGCCAACATTGCTGTCTTTCATTCCATCATTTCACGGCAATACGACACAGCAGCCCGGGGTTCGATTCCCCGCATCGGAACTGGAGGAATATATACAGACGTACTACAATTTTTTCTCAATTTATCGATCGGAGACGGTGCTCTCTGATTACATCCTTACACGATCCGCCCTCAAAGTGCCAGCAGTTGTCCATACTTCCCCAGACTATCTGCTCAAAAGTTGAAAGAGAAAAATCGCTTACTATCAGTGCTTGGGAATGAAACAGTTGTGGGGCTAGTCCTGGAGTTGCAGTTCCTGATGTGAGTCGAGTCAACGCATTCAGACAGTCGCCAGTGGGAATGATTATACTTTTGATTCCAGCCAAACCGATGCAATTGTCATGTATTGAACGAGCTCATTAAAATGACGCCGTACAGACTATGCACCAAGCTCGAGGTACCTCACAGCACAATACCAAGCAAATCTCCTCGGGACTACGAGCAAACTACAGGTACAGACAGTAATAATTGACTTTACAGGGCAAAAAGCTGTCATGAAGCTGATTGAGCACTGGATATCAGTACTGGGGGTTAGCCTCTATATCATATTCCTTCGACTCGAGCATGGTTCACATGATCAAAGAAGCGGGGCGATGCCAGAATGCGGTTCTGACGGTAGGGATCATTTTGCCAGTCTCATCAACGCCCTCAGCTGGTACGAATCGTACACCAATGTGGGGTATTATCTCCGTGTAAACTGGCTTTCAATTCTGTGGCTGGTTCGAAGAATCAGCCGGGTATTGCCGACAGTCACGTGTCGTTCGACGCTGGTCTCACCTCGCGTTATTTTCTCTGCGTCTCACCAAAACCTGGACCATCTCAGCACGTCCCCCTGCTTGTATGCTCTTATTCCTTTATTTTTGATCACCAGGGAGAACTTTCTCAGTGGGCCGTGGCTATCAAGTACAACTCAAGAGCGAAGGGCCGAACGACAACGATGTTTCAGGACCGCTTCTGGACGGATGTCGCATGTATCGCGATCAAGTACGGAGTTTTGTGCCATGTCTGAGAGTATAGAGATAGTGGGAGACTGGAGGAATGTGTTTATTCATCGATGGTATCTGATGGTCTCGTGGTCAAGGTATGTTCGTCGTTCTTTGCATGCAACCATGCTCTCATTTGTGTCTTGTTTAAGTATTCAATATGATCCGGAAGATAGAGTCTCGACACAGAATATCTATTCTAAGCTGGAACTGCAGGATATTAGCATGAACCGTGTCCATCCTGAGTTGGAAATCCTCCTAGCCAACGGTCACCTACATCTCTGCCCCAATGTTACTCGCTACCACGCTTACCGTTGACAGGGCCCTGAAAGGAGGAACATTTGCCTTCGCGGTTACTCAAGGCCCCAGCGAACTCCATAGCGTCGGTATATTTTCCTGTTTTCTTTCAAGCTGGGGTCGATCTCGACTGACGTCAGTACACCAGAAAAGATCAAGTGGGCGGTAGAAGATGCCACACAGTGCGCTCTAATCTACAACTGTTTGAGTCTACGATTTGTGGGGATGTTTCTGTTCTTTTTCACTCGTCGGTGTGCTCACAGGCATCTGGTGGCATAGTCCATTGTATTGGATATCGGGTACAGTCGGATGACTGGTCTAGCTATGCAAAGAACGTGTTACCCTGAAAGGTGTCAGAGGTGTCAGAGAATCGAGAACGGCGGAGGGAAGCGGTATGTCTATACACACACCTCCGAGAAAAAGTTTTGGCTCACCCGTCATGTCCACGGTCTCTAAGTATCGGTAGAACTACGGAAGATGTACTCTGGGCCGGGGTGGTAGTCTCGCCAGTAGACTCGCGTGGCCAGTACGTTATGTCTCGTTGATGGGTTGATGGGCAGGAGCACAAGACATAACGACTGGGCTCAACATCGCTCCAAAAACCGTGTCACGGAAATGTGACAAAGGACTTAGTGAAATTTCGCACTCCCGTCTCACCCAGTCTGGCAGCAAAGCTTGAACTTCAGCAGCATCCCATTCTCTCGAACTTCAAAAATGCGTAGATAGGATGATTATATTGGCCTTCAGTAGCATAAGGTAAAATTAGGGATAAAGATTGATATAGACCATCATAGATAGCATTATTGCTGCGCGGGCGACGTCTACCAGCCAGGTAGCCCATAACTAGTGTTTCTCTGCTCCTCGTAATGTGTAAAGGAGCCAGTGGCGTCGTCGCGAGCGGGGTAGGTGGTTGTGGAATGATGGTTGTAAGGGTAAGGTGTAAATTGGCCGAACGTGTGTGTTGGATATGTGGTTCGGTGAGTGGTGCTGTACACTTGAGGGGTGGAAGGATGAAAAGGGTGATTTGAAGTCCTACGGATGCTATATGCGTTTGCGGGTCCTGTACTTGGTGCTGGAGAGGCTGAATTGTGAGGAAAAGAATGAACATTTGATACAGGGCTGAAATATGTTGTAGCTGATGGCGGTTGCGGCCTAGTATACTGGTCGTGCCGTTGCTGGGGTGTAGTAGACCCATTCAAAGGCACCGTGAAGTCGTATTGCGCGGGAGAAAACATGTACTGAACCGAGTTTTGGGCGAGCTGCTGCGGGTATGAGTTGACAGAGACTGGCCTCGGGCTTGGTGACGGTGTGGTAGGGGCAGCAAGGTGCGGGAACAACGTAGTTGTTGTTGAGTGAGGTGCCTCGCAGTGTATGCCAGAATGCCGTTGTGCTGAATTGGGTGTTGGATATGCTGTGAGCAGACTGAAAGGATCTCGTGGGGTGTGCGAAGTTGCCGGTCTGGTTGAAGGAACAGGCGTTCCGGGGTATGGAAGCGAGGGAAATAGTGCTGTTTGTAGACGATGGTGGTTGTGGGAGGAAGAGTTGACAGTGTCTGGCCTCGTGTCCGACGTTACTGCGGGTGTTCTCGGCGGCTGTATATTCTGATTCGACGACGTCGATGATGTCGTTCTCGCACGCTTTTCACTCCCTGCCAACACCTCCCCTTCAGCCCTCTCTGGTTCCTTTCTCTTTGTAGCAGCAGACGTTTTTTGACCCTCTTTCACCTTTTTCTTAAACGGTGGAATTGTGAGTTTTGAGATATAATTCCATAGATCAACACCATGTTTGTCCCACCAACTCCAGTGACCAAGGACCGTCTTCAGCCGCTTGGTAGATGGAATTGGACCCGTAGAAGCCAAGAGCTCGAGGTGAGAGTCCGAAAGTATTCCCTTGAAAGACCACTGTGAACCTGAATGATGGCGTTCATAGGTGTCGACCCGCCATTTGTGGATGGCGAGCTGCGTTGCTTTATCGAGCTCACCCTTTTCGACACCGGATTGACGAGGGGTTGAAGTATATTTTCCAGGACGACAGCGATCAAGGAGAGTTGGATCACACACGTCGCAGCAAGAGCGTCTAGAAGGGGCTAGGACACGGTGAGTTCATGGATGCGAGTCGTTGAAATGAGTTCACTCACGCAGTGCTTGATTTTTATAGATGCTTGTTAGGATCTCGCGGCGACACTTGCCAGTGAGTACAAACGCAAGGAGATTCTCGTCCTTGGCTGTCGGTAGCAAGGTCGGTTCCCATCCCTTCTGGGGCAACACATCGGATAATCCACTATGCAATCCTCGTTTGACTCCCTGCCGCTCTGCTACCTTCTTCCCTGTGCCCTTGGAGTATTCACCAGCTGTCTCGGCTGACACTTTACTGTTCTTTTTGCTCTTTCCTCCCCCTTTGGACCCCTTTTCCTCGAGTTTCTCGCAGTCTAGTCCATACATTGACTTTTCAACCAGTAGAACTGCCAGACCGGTGCGCCCATGCCCTCGTGCCGCCCTTCCAGCTCGCTGAATCCATATAGAAGTCGTGTCCGGCAGTTTCCATTGAACAACAACATCAATATCTGGGATGTTGCAACCCTGTTCACATTGCAATTGAGGTTAGCGTTGACACAGTCGGCCGTTACATTTTCCACTCACCATACCCGCAGCATCTGTACAAATGAGGACACGAACCCCATTATCTGACCTGAAGTCATTCATCACGGCTTTCCGATACTTTTTCGAGTATGCGGCGCTATACGGTCGAATAATATTCTTGTTCCGAAGGTGCTCTGGCAGCAGGGACTCCAAGTGGTCTTGGATATCAGCACCGGTAGCAACATTGTCGGCATAGATGAATGTCTTTGGAATTGGGGATTCTGGTGTTATGCGAGGTGGTATAACGAAATCAAGGTCTCGGTATGTGTTCATCGCATGTTCCATAGCGCGTACAACAAGAGAAACATTGGGCCGGTCGTTCCCAATGTCTATATTGATGAAACTGTTGGGTCCTGATCTTGAGAAGTGAAGCTTCGAGGTTACATCGTTTCGAACACGAGGTGAGAGGGTGGCAGACAGTGCCGCAAATGGAACGCCTTTCGGGAGTAATGCGCGAAGTATACCCAGTTCCCCGTATTTCTTCCGGAAACCTCCTCCCCAGTGAGAGATGACATGCGCTTCGTCCACCACCACTGAAAGAATTCTCTTTCGAAGCTCTGCATTCCTCAGGACCTTGTCGATGAAGCGCTTTGTCAACATCATCTCTGGTGAGATGAGTACCACCTGGTACTTTCCCGAACAGATTTCCTTCAATGAGAGGTTAGTAGACTGCTATTACTGACCGTAACTTGTGCTTACCATCAGGTTCTGTGCTGCCAAACCATCATGAGCGCTATTGATAGCAATTGTGCTCAATCCGTACTCCTCTCGAAATGTCTCGGCATGTTCGTCCTGAAGCGCGATCAACGGCGACACAACAAAAGTCACTTTTCCCGCAGCGAGTGGATGTGCATGAGGTGCGGCGATTATCAGGGATTTTCCTGCTCCGGTGTGGGCATGAATGAGACTATCGCGTTGGAGAAGCTGCGCTCGTGCAGCTTCTTTTTGGAATGGCTTCAAGTCGAAACTGAGGTGGAACTTGCTCTTGATACATTCATCAAGGTTCTCAAAGTCTGCGAGGCGTGGTTGTGGAACCTCTTTCGGTTTCGAGGTTTTGTTGGCTGTTCGTCCCCCTTTTTGTTTGGCGTTCTTCCTCCTCGTCTGATAATTGGACTATGGATG